AGAATCAAATAATATAATTGAAGATCATACAAATAAAAAAAAAGGAATTCAAATAAAATTGAAAATTATTGGAAGAGATTCTACAAAGTACAAAAAAAAATTAATTAACCACTAACCATATAGTTTCTCAGTATTATTTTTTATTTTTATTTTAAAAAGAACAAGAACAATATAAATAGGGATAAAAAAACCCTAGAGCAAAGGGGAAGAGTTAACTACATACTATATAGACTACACGCGGAAATGCCCACAAAAAAAAGAGAAAAAAAATACTCTCTTTTTTGCAAGAAATTTGTCCCCTCTCATACTTGTAGTCACTGTCAATACTAGTAATTCAAGTTGGTTTAAAATCAATCAATATATATAAACTGTTCTAAAAATCTATATTAACCTAGAAAAAAATTATATTTATATAAATGTTAACAAGGTTAACATGTTGTGAATTGTAATGTATGAATTGTGTAGATTTTGCATGAATGGGTCTTGAATAGATAAAAATAATTCATCACTTTGCAAGTTTTTTTTTTTTTTTGGTTATCTACAAAGTCAATCTAGGATGAAAATGGGATAAAAATTGTTTGATGGGCAACTTAATTTTACATTCAAAGTTGTTTTCAATTATTTTTTTTTCTATTGGCGCCCCTTTTTTTCTTGCGAGTTTGCTATATAATATTTATTTATTTTATTTATAAAGTCAATCTCGGATAAAATAAACTATTATTAGACCTTGTTTAAGGATGTTTACACAGGAATGATAAAATTGCTTGATGCGTAATTAAATTTAACTGCATTCAAAAATATTTTACAAAAATATTATTATTTTTTTTTCCTGCGGTTTTGTTGCGTAGTCATTGTTTTTATTATACGTGAAGCCAGCCCAGGATAAATAAATCATTCGGTCCTTGTCTAGAGGATGGTGACAAGTGATTAATAGAAACCATTAATACATGGCTCCTTAATATTTAAAATATATAAAATAAAAAATAAATGACAATTTATTTGTTATATTATATTTATGCCAAATTACAATTTTTAGCCTTGAAAATAAAAACCCGTGAATCAATTTAAATAAATTCTTAACATGTATATGTTTATCAATAAAAGTAATTCTTAACATGTATATATTTATGCCAAATTACAATTTTTAGCCTTGAAAATAAAAACCCGTGAATCAATTTAAATAAATTCTTAACATGTATATGTTTATCAATAAAAGTAAATATAAAGCAACTTATTTTAGATAATAAGATATTTTAAAACAAAGTAATTTTTTATTTAATATAATTAATCCCTTACATATAATCTCTAAAGATGAGTTAGTTATTATAAAATTAAATAGTAAATTTTGTTTTTTTATATTTATATTTTTTTAACACTTAACTTTTTAATTACTGTAAAATTAGATAGTATCTCTTTATTCTATTTGTATTTTTTTTTACACATAACTCATCAATAATTAATTTTTTATTTGTATTTTTTATACTTAACTTGTTGGACTATCATTTGAGACAATTATCATATTATTGTTTCTTTTAATCTTAACAACAAAGTATTTATTTATCAAGCCAAAATTGCTTTTGAATGATATTTGAAAAGGGTTACGTTTTATATATATATATAATTTAAATGGAAAAGGTAATATGATTAGCAGAATTATATTTTTTTTTATTAACTTGGAAAATGTAATATGATTAGTAGAATTATATTTTTTTTTATTAACTTGGATGTTTGGGCCAGCTTGTATATATTTTGATTAATTTTATAATTTCTCAAGTTAATAACTATATAAGTTTTTAGTGGTTTTAAAAAAACTCGAACTTTTAATTATTAGTGAGCAAACATAAGATCTAACTAGTTGATTTACCTTTCTTGTATTTTTTATAATATTTAATATATCATAAAAGTTAATAAATAAAGATAAAAAAGATAATTTAATTTAAATATTAACAATTGAAGGACCTACCTGGAAGAAGATCTGAAATTTGAAAAATTACTGGACAACTCAATGAAAAATCCAATTTTGATGAATAGTTGAAACTCTCCGACCTTCCTTCTCTTGTTGTGAATCTAAATACCGCTATATTTTTTTAGGTCAAGTTTGTTTTTGTATTTTAAAAGTTTTTTTGAAATTTTTTGAAATTTTTTTATCTTTTTATTTGCTGCAAATTATTTTTAATTTTTTTTATCTTTTTATTTGCTGCAAATTAATTTATTTTTAATGTTTTCAAATTATTTTGATGTATTGATGTTAAATATAATTTTATTAAAATAAAAAATATTATCTTAATATATTTTTTAATAAAAAATATTTTAAAAAGTAATCACAACTCTCAAGAAATCAAATTACATTTTAAAATTGCTCTTTTTAGCTAGTTAAACAAGATACTCTCACTATAACTAATTATTCTTGTTGTTTTAATTATTAATTTATTATATTTGCTTTTTACCATATTTATGTCCAAGTTAATGTTAAAAATATAGATTTTCTATCTCTTTAAAAAAAATGGCATGGAAACTAGCCTGTAAAATAGAAATCTCTTTATCAAAAACTGAAAATTATTCTTCAAGTCATATATTAATTAATTCATGCATAAAATACATATTTTAAGTTTATTTACTTACTTTAGTGTTTCTATTTCTGTTCAGGATATCCGATAACCACCAATCACGGAGAACTGAACTAGTACTTCAGGGTGGGGCCCATATTTGTTAGATAAGACACAGCCGTGGATGTTGTGGAGCCCACTTGACAAACTCGATATGGCTCCTTTTGTTTTTAAAAAAGAAAAACAACTTCTTCGTAGTTGGAGTTAAAGAAACTCCGTATAGCAAGTACCTGTGACACGTGGCAGACATGCAAATTCACAAATAGATACGAGGCCAGCTAGAAAAGAAAAACCATACGCATATGAAATGTACTACAAAATCAGAACCGATCATCATGTACACGTGTGTCATAACTGGTTGCATGCTTGCCGTCTCATACTAAAACTGAAGCTTGTGTCTCGGTTGTTTTTGCTCATTGTGATTCCTGACATTTAATTTTTTTTTTTGATGAAATAGGCTGCATAAATTATGATGCGAAGAGAAAAGAGAGGGAAAAAAATATTAAAACACAACAAAACTCTGATTATAATATTATTAGTATTATAAAAAAACTATTAATAAAATAAAATAAATAAATTATAAAAAGTTATTAATGATAATAATTGTTAATCACATGCAAATAAGCCAATGAATGTCTTTAGATTATAAGTGTGACATATATCCATTATAATTAATAATTTTTTTATATGTTGTTGAATTGTTCCTGGTATTGATATTGTTGTAATGAAAGCATTCATGTGTCTTCATGGTGTATTTTTTAATCTTTTTTCTTTTTATTTTTTCATTGTAATTCATACAATTTTTTTAATAATTTTTTTGAAATGTTTTATTTTTGAATGGTGGTAAATTTAAGTGTTATATTTTTTAACCATGACAAATATAAATTATGTTATTTTACTATTTTTTTTAAATTATCAATCTTCTAGTTTTTTATTTTAAAAAAAATATGCTGAATTTTTTAATCCTTATTTTAAAAATATAAATTATGTTAAAAGTAAATTTTTTAAAAAGATTATTAGCATATATTTTGACATAAAAAAATATTTAAAAAACAACCACAACTACATTCACAGCTACTCTGTAAATTTTTTTTAATAAATTTATTATTGTGGTCCCTTAAGTTTTTGAAATAGATCCATCAATTCCTATGTTTAAATTTTGGGCACAAAAACCCTCACACTTTTAATTTTTAGTTACATTCGATCCATCTTTCGAGCAAATGTTCATTAGAAGCCTGCTCTGTGTCACTATATGTAAAAACCTGAGCGGATGAAGGGACCACAAGGGTGAGGATTAACATGCACAAAATTAAAGTATAAAACTTGTTTAACAATGTGCAAAAACTTGAGGGACCATAATTATAAACTCATACCATTTTTATTTGTGTTTTTGTCCTAGTAAAAAGGAGTCCTGCCCATTTTAATAAACTTAAGGTGTGTTCGCTGTAAATGGATTTTTTTTTCATTTCCAATTTTTTTCCTTTTTATTGAAAAATTGGAAAATTTGTTCATAAAATAAAAACTAATTTTAATGAAAAAAAATTAAAAATTATAATTATTTTTCATAAGAAATCAAAATAATAATTTATAATAGTCATCTTAATATTTCTAGTTTATAATAATTAATTATAAATTATTAATATAATTTCTTTCAAATGAAAATTTATTATAAAAATGTCACAGTGTTAACTCAAAATAATAATAATTATGTTATATTTATAATAAAAATTAAGTTTAGAACACTAAAATATTTATGTTATATCTAATCTAATGCCTACAATTTTTTCTGAATAGACAGTTGTAGAATATATTAGATTTTTTGAGAGATTTATCAAGAAAAAAAGCGTTTTAATTTTAAAGTTATATATATATATATATTTCAATTGTAAACTTTATCATTAGAAAAATAAAAATAAAATCTCGGGTGTGTATTTATGAGTGAGAGAGAGTTGATTTGAACTAAAGACAAGGCGCCCTTAAAAAGCACTATCCTTTCTGTCATTTTGCTCTTTATAAGAATGGTGTCGTTTTTTGTGGAGAATGGAGAATGAGAGAGAGAGAGAGAGAGAGAGAGGAGGAGAAGATAAAACTAGCAAAAAAAAAAAAAAAAAACCAAAACAAAACCAAAACAAAACAGAGAAGAAAGACAGAGAGAAATGAGACACACGGACACAGAGAAAGCGAGGCAGAGTGATTAATCAACCTTGGACATGGAGAAGGAGGGGAAGGTTTTTGAGGTCTTGGGATGGTTTGTTTGACTTTGTTTCTTCCATCTTTTTTTCTCAGAGAAGCTTGTTAAATTTTGGTGGGTATGTTAGATCTTTGCTTCCTCTTTCTTCTTCTTCTTCTTCAAAAAAAAAAAAAAAAAAGGGTCTTCTTCTTCTTCTTCTTCAAAAAAAAAAAGGGCTGCAAAATCTCTTTGTAAATGGTTAATTATAGTTCAAGTTATTCAAAATGGTTCAAAACTCTGTCGTTGGTATTAAAAAACTGGCCTCGAAGGCTGTTTTTTTTTTTTTTTCTACTTCTGTTTTTAGATGCTGAATTGTTATCAATTCGGACGTGCCGTTCGTTTTTCTTTAAAATGCGCCAAAACTTTGGTTCCAGTGGCTTTGTGATAATATGCTGAACTTTAATTCTTGTTTATTTTATTGTTTCTGTAACTCTTTTTCCGTTTTTTTTACTAGTTCGGTATTGAAGTTGACCGGTAAGATGCAACACCGAGAAGAAAATCAGAATCTTTTTCTTATTTTTCCTTTGCTTTTCGTTCCCCTTGTATTGTTCTATGTCTCTGAGTTTGGATACGAGTGCTTTGAGATTTTGGCTTTATATCAAAATACGTATTTTGACTCCTGTGTTTTTGTATTGGACTGATAATTAAGTTCAGTTCTCTTTTACTGGGGAGAAAAGAAGAAGGGCGGCAGGGGATTTCTTTTCGGAAACTGTTAATAAATCTTTATATTTTGGTGTCAAAATGGGATAAACATGTTGCGGTTTTTGTCTCAGTTTCTCCTCAATGATGTTTCTGATTGGGTCCTTTTGAATTTCCATAATTTCTTCATGTCTAATATTTAGAATTTTCTGCGTTGATTTTCAGGCTCTTCTCCCTTCTTCTTCTTCTTGTTTTCTCTTCTTTCTTTCAACGAAGGAATTTCTTCATGTCTAATATTTAGAATTTTTTGGGTTGATTTTTCAGGCTCTTTTTTCTTCCTCTTCTTGTTTTCTCTTCTTTCTTTCTGTCCTTCTTTCAACGAAGGAATTTTCAGATTCTTTTGTAAATGCAAAAGTTTGCATGTCTTGGTGTTATGGTGGAAGGTTAACTTTTATGCGATTTTCTTTTACGTAAAATGGTTCCGTTTATGATAAATACAGAATCAGAATGTTAGTATTTCTTGCTGATGTTGCTGCTCATTTCTTCCTTTCTGTTTTGCTGTCAACATGTTCTTTTTTCTGGCAATATCTTGCAGGTTATGCTTTTTTGATTGGCATACGTGCTAAGCCTCTTTATTGACAAAGTAAATACAAGGGGAAAAATGGGAAATGATAATGGCAGAACTAATTCTTTTCTTTCTGTGATTTTTCTCTTCTATAGATTATCCGTAACGGGAATAAATTGCTTTCATTATGTTGTATTTATTGTTATTGTTATCTTCTTGGTGTGTTAGATCTGCTTTTACTTATACTTGCTGTTCGTAGAAGAATTGCACTCGTCTTTGTCCTCTTAATCTCCGTTCGTGACACACAAATTTGAAATGCTAACAGTATTTCAATGTATTTTCTGCTGACCCTGTCATTTGTGTCTTTACTGTGTTGTTTTTTCAGGGTTGAAAACTTGAATGGATTTTTCGGAGTCCACAAAAGTTGTGTACAATAGAATTCAGGCGATTGAGCCTGAATTCGTTGGTAAGATCATTGGGTATATTCTGTTACAAAACCATGGTGAACGAGAAATGATCCGGCTGGCCTTTAGCCCTGATAATTTGATCTATGCAATGATATGCAAAGCCAAATCTGATCTGGGGCTAGACAAAATACCAGTTCTAAATCTAATTTCGCCTTCTCAGGTGAACCCGTCACCTGTTTCAGATGTTCCACAGCAATTCATTCCTAACACCACAGTTTCATCACACCCAATTTTCTCTCCAGTAAAGGTTAGGACTGCAGGTTCTTTCTGGGATGCTCAACTGACTGGTGACCTGCAACAGGCACACAACTTGGATTTTGCTCCACCAGGGTACTCAGAAATGGTTCCTGAAGATTATCATATTCAAAACCAAATGCAGTTCCGTACTTTGGATTATCCGATAGAGTTTGTTAATTCTGACTTTTCTAGCAGTTACATCTACCCAGAACCTGCATTAAGTCCTAGGACTAGCGGAAGGTCTCCAAGCTTGCCTGAATTTCCTGTTAAGATTTGCCATTACTTCATTAAGGGGTTCTGCAAACATGGAAACAACTGTAGGTATTTCCATGGCCATCCCATGCCAGAAAGCTTTTCTCAGATTTTCGGTTCAAATTTGAATGAGATTGCAAACGAAGAATGTGTTGTCTCACCTGGCTCTTTTGAAAAGCTTGAATTGGAGCTCACCGAGCTTTTGAAATCAAGAAGAGGGGTGCCAGTTTCGATTGCCTCTTTACCAATGATGTATTATGAGATGTATGGGAGGACGCTGCAGGCCGAAGGGTATCTTACGGAGAGCCAGAGACATGGTAAGGCAGGTTATAGTCTAACAAAGCTCCTAGCTCGATTGAAGAACAGCATTCGTCTCATTGACAGGTACAATATGTGAAATATTCATAATGTTCTCTACCCCTTTAAATTTATCTGATTTCGTGGAATTGTCACTTTTTCAAGTTTTACTGTTTGGGACAGGCCTCATGGGCAGCATTCAGTGGTTTTGGCAGAAGACGTCCCAAAATACTTGGAGTATGCTGGTGAGAGAAACGATCCTGGTGGAATCGTTGCTGGTTCTAGACAGATCTATCTTACCTTTCCGGCTGAGAGTACCTTTACAGAGCAAGATGTTTCTAACTATTTTAGGTTAGCATATTTGAACATCTCTTTTGGCAATCCTCCATTTTTTTCTTCCTGTGTTCTGTTTGTTAAAGACGTTCCATTTTGTCTTGATCCTCTGTTTTTGTAGCAAATTTGGGCCTGTTCAAGATGTTAGGATTCCTTGCCAACAGAAGAGGATGTTTGGATTTGTGACTTTTGTTTTTGCAGAGACTGTTAAGCAAATATTAGCAAAGGGGAATCCTCATCATGTCTGCGGGGCTCGTGTTCTTGTGAAACCCTACAGGGAAAAATCCAGGCTTATTGACAGGTAGATACTACAGTATTGTGCTTAGCCTCTGCCTTTATCATTCCTTTTGGCCTAATTATTATCATGTCTTTGATTTCAGACAAGTAATTATTGCTGGATGGTTTGCTGACCCAAAATGGGTAAAGAGATTCTGAATGAATCATTGTGACTGATTTAAACTTCATTATCTCTTCATGTGTAGCTACGTTCCTGTCGTTTTCAGCTATCATGTCCATAATTAGCTTCTTTAATGCACCCTAACACAATCATTTTCCAAGAGCTTTTTTGTTTTAATGTTTTAAAAATGTTTTTTTTTTAAATTGATTATTTTGACATGTTAATATTTTTATAATATTGACCCAAAATGTTTTAATGCACCCTAACATAATTAGCTTTTTTGTTTTAATGTTTTAAAAATATTTTTATTTCAAATTAATTTTTTCATATGTTTTTAGATTATTTTGACATGTTAATATTAAAAATAATTTTTTTTAAATAAAAAAATATTATTTTGATGTATTTCCGAACAAAAATATTTTTAAAAACAATCACTCCAAGGCTTCATAAATCTACAATATCAATAAAAAAATATTATTTTAATATATTTCCGAACAAAAATACTTTTAAAAACAATCACTCCAACGCTTCATAAATCTACAATATACATTTTCTTTCCATTTTACTTAATGGTTTGATTTTGCGGGTTTGTTAGTCTGCTAATTCTAAAACATGACTTTTTCATTAGCCTTTTTTCTTTCCCCAGTCTCCAGAGATTGGTGAAACTGCAAATGAAGTAGGCCCATTATTTTGTATGATCCACCACCGATCATGGAGGGCGCCTAGTCGGATCCCTATCTATGAAATATTAGATATTTTCACCTTTCCTGTTGTTAGAAGCAAAATGATTTCAGTTTGAATGGGTCACCTCCTTCGTGATACTTTGACTTTTTTGGTTCTCCTTTTATTCTCTTGCAATTATCAACATGATATATATATATATATATATATAAACACAGTATGATTCCAGCTGGCTCTTGTTCCTTTATTGACAGAGTCTAGTGCTTGTGTTCTGTACTTGGAGTGCTTCTTAGAATAAGGAAAGCATGTAACTTATGCATGATTGGCCATTCTTGCATTGTTTCTCAAGTTCATATGGAAAGTGATTATCCCCTGAACATGAACATGCTTTTTAAGATGTCGATAAAATTAATTTCGAACTTTTATGTTTTTTGTTTTTTTTTTTCTCATGCTAAGATTATCTGCTATGTATATTTTTCAAAGTGAGGTTGATAGTTTGGAGAGAATTTTTGAGCAGGAAGTACAGCGAGAAAATGCAGCACCCTATCCATCACAGCCATCACTTTATGGATGGAGATTCCGAGCTTCACTCAGGTGAGCGGAATCCTTGATTTCTCTGGCTTTCCCATTACAGTTTAATCCTTCACTTTGCCATCATATTTATATGGCTAACACTCTCTCTTTGCTAATTTTGCAGCGCGGAGAGTTTGTGATAATTCAAAATTACTCAGGAAGCAGCTCATGGAGGAATATGAGCAGGAAGTTGAACTTGAGAGAAGGCGTCTCTCAGAGTTTCATTTTGCACCTGAACCCTTGAATCTTCACTCTTTTCTCGGCCACTCTATGGATGAGTTGAAGCTCTCAGGAGGTCTATAATACCCCGGCTTCTTTGTTCTAATGTTGTCTGCCTTGATTACATTATAAGCCCTTACCTATTTGCTTAACGGCTTAACCTGTGCAGAACAATCAGAGTTTTCGTCCGCGGAGCATTTCAATTACTGGTTTGATGTTTTGAATAATGGTTCCACCAGTGAGGAAAAGCATAGGCATACAAGGACCAGTTGCAGTGACCAGGATAGGTACAAGTGATATGCATCTTGTGCTATGTAATGTTAATTAATGGTCATAAAAAATAGAAACTTTGTATAAATGCAGCAGTGACTAGCTTTATCAGGGAAGAACTAGATCATCTCAGTTCTCCACGCAAAAAAAAAGAAAAAAATAGATCATCTCAGTTCTCCACGCAAAAAAACAGAATTTTTTTTGCTGAATCTCTGATATGGATTTTTGGTTTCTTGTTTCTGAACCCACGCAGCAACCAAGGAGTTAATCTTCCTGAGAGCCCGTTTGCATCTGCAATAGGGAGTGGCATTTCGACAGTTATATAGAGGAAGACACAGAAGAATTATAGAGTTAGAGGACTGAATTCCAAGACCATTTTCGAGGGTTTCAGACAACATGAATTTCTTTTCTTTGAAAAAATTACCTGAACGTGAGCGTCATCGGTCAGATACCAGCTGAAGGAGAGATAAACTAGGATTTCTCCATGTTACTCGGTGGAGATCGCAAGGATGACAGATACATAAAGTTAATATGTGACAGGCTCCTGAGCTTTTTCTTTTTCTTCATTTCTTTTTTAATTAATGTAATCACAGAAAGCAAGCAACAGAGCTTGTTGGCTTTTAGAAGAAAAATGTAATATAGTCTTTGTCCAGTGTCCCATAATTCTTTTCACAACTCATTTTCATTAAGATTTATGTTTTTAGAAGAAGGGGGCTCATCCTCACCATGCTCTAGTGCGAAGAGACCCTGAATGGCGGAGACGAAGATGCATGATGATTAGTTCCCTGGCAGCCAGGGAGATCATTTTTTTGTTTTAATTTAAGGAGGTCACAGCCCCACAATTGCATGTTCCTAAAGTGGCCTTTGGTGTGGGTGTTTATGAATGTGATAAGAAAGTGTGGGGACCTCATTGTGATTTTGTAGAGGATTGAGGAGAGAGTAACCTTTTGTTTTTGGGTTTAAAACATGTTTTGCATTTAAAAAATATTTTTTAATATTTTTATTTATTTTTAATTAAAAATTTTAGTGTTTTATATTATTTTTATGCATTAATATTAAAATATATTTTAAAATAAAAATATTTAAATAAAAAATATTTTGAAAAACATAATATAAAAAATGAAATAGTTTGCCATCACTGTTCCATTAAGTACTGTACTGCATCTTTTTTCTTTGTCCTATGTTAAGTGGAAGTTTGTTTAAGTACAGCGAAGCATGGTCAATGGAGTTCCTTGTCTGGCCATAGGGTGGGAACGTGAAGGCATACACGAAGTAACTCCAATGGGTTCTCTCTGTAATTCTTTTTAAGGTACATTAACCTTTGAGTTATAAAATGATGTAATTTTCTACATTACATAATAATTAAATAAATTATAAACTTCGTACTCGAATCTACTTCATTAGATATCATGCATTCATAATAATTTTACATGCCTTTTAATTTAAAAACACAAGTAAAAGCTTAGACAAATAAAGCTTAAATTCAAAGAACTTTTTAGCACAAAACAAGACTGGACATTTAAGGATTGTTTGGAAATATAGTTATGATTACTTTTTAAAATGTTTTTTATGTTGAAATGCATTAAAATGATATTTTTTATTATTTTTTTAAAAAATTATATTTGATATTAGTGCATCAAAATGATCCAAAATAAAAAAATATTAATTTTTAATAAAAAAATTAAGTTTTTTGAAAACAGGGTTTGCACCGCATTTTCAAACGATATCAGCAGTGTTTGTGTTTACAGTGTTCCATGCTTTTAAATTTTCTTTTTTGGTTTTTTCTACATTCATTCTAATGGCTTTGAACACGAGATTTTTGCGACGAAACAACTAAATTTGGAATTTAAAAGAGGAATATTGTGTTAATTTCAAATGTGAGTAATATTATTTAAGCAAATGAATATATGATGAGGTCTTGTTAGATAGTCATTTCATCCTAGTTGAACTAAAAGCTGACTCATGGATAAAATAAGATTATAGCTAGAATTGATTAAAAGCTGACTTATGGATAAAATAAGATTATAGCTGGAATTGATTAAATAGAATCATGAAGCTTAATATTAAAAATATATCAAGTGAATTTTTATGAATTTTTTAAACTTGAGTAAACATCTTAATCTTGCAATCCATTAAGTTCTAGATCCGAGTTAAATTAAAAAACTTAATTCTCAATCAATTTAATATTGATTAGCTAAAGTATATCTAATAAAGAACAACAAAATATAGATCTGATAAAACATATTATTTTTAAAATCAGTGAAAAATCTAACAGAAAGCAAACAAACAAAAAACAAAGCTCATTCTTATATTTAATAAATATTAAAGGACAAAACTTAAAAAAAAGAAGAGTTTAAAGAGAGGACAAAAAACCCAAGCTAACCTGGGTGAACCTCTCAAATTTGGGTTAGCCACTAAAATTCACAACTTGTGAAAATCTAGACTCAGGCTCGGTCAGGAAGTTTAATTCTCAAATGATTTAAAGTCCAATAATGGGATAGAAAAAAAAATATCAATTCAATAATTTATAGAAAAAAATATCAATTCAAAAATGTCTTCAAAGTAAAAAAAAATACTAATAAAAAGAACTAATATCAAATTTGATGGGAAATGTAAAAGCTTAAGGAGGATGAATATGTAAATAAATAAATAATTTTTTTTATCTCAAATAAAATAAATAATAATAAAAAGAATAGAGACTAAATTTAAAAAATTACAAAATTAAAAGGGAATGAAATAGAAATAGAATTCTAATATTATAAATTGTTTTATAAAATCATTCCAAATATTGAAGGATGAAAATAAATAAAAATTAGTTTAAACAAGCAAACCTAGACGAACTTTCTAAATATGGTCGAAGTTTTAAAACTCACAACCCATAAAATCCAAGACTAGGTTCAATTAATTTTTTTTATTCCCAACTATTTTAAAAATATCAAATTGAAAAACTTGCCAAAGAAAAAAAATATCAAAAGAATGATAATCAAATTTGATAGGAGAACAAACCAAAGGAGGATGAAATTGTAGAAAAAAATAATAATTTTAAAAATGATTCTAAACAGAACAAATAGCAATAAAAAAAATGAGAATCGAATTTGAAATATTACAAAAATATTAAACAATATAAGGGGTTAAAATTGAAAAAAAATTATAAATTTATAGATTATTCAAAATAAAAAAATAGTAATCAAAAGGAAAAAGATCAAATGTTTAATATAATTCAAGGAGCACACAGATAGTAATCAAAAGGAAAAAGATCAAATGTCAAGGGAAAAGAAATTCAAGGGACTCACATATAATTCAAGGAGCACACAAAGAGAGAAAAAATGATGGTTAACATAAAACCTTAGGTGCGTTTAGTGCATGCACTATCCAATCGTGCAGGAGGTGAGGTGCGTTTAGTGCATGCACTATCCAATCATACAGGAGGTGCCAAGATTTTTCAAATGTTATTGTATAAGGCAATATATGGTGATTAGACGACCCTTCATGTATTGCTTGAAAGGTGTGAGGGCTGCTTACTTGTTGATGTGTGTGTGGTACGTGCTACGTGCTAACAAAGGTTTTTTTAAAAAATATTAAAATTTATTAAAATAAAAAATTCCTCTAAATTAACTAGATATTAACAAAAAAAATTGATAAAAAGTTGAAAAAGTCCCATGAAGAGAATTTAACAAATCTTGGATTTAAGATTAATTAAGTTATTTTATTATGCTGAAAATTAAAAAGATTAAAAAATCCTTGAATAAGGAGTGTTGAGATGTAGCTTTCACTAAGCTTGGTGAAGTTCGTGATGATGATCTCCTCATTATTCATAAAGATAAGGTTTTATTGAATGATTAATGGATTATAACATTTGAATGAATAACATTCATTAAATAATCATGTTGGAGGCTCAAAATATCATAAAAAATTAAAATTATTTACCAAGATAACATGATATAGTTTCAAAGTCAATTATTAAACCAATTAAGCTTAAAATATTACAAGTAAACCCATTTATTTATTTATTTTATACCTTTATCGAATTCAACTAGTTCGAACCCATAGTACATATATTCTTATTAAATATTAGGAGGTCAAAAGATAAAATTAAGAACTTAGGGTTTAAAATAAAAATCCAACATTTTTTTAATTATTAAAAATAAGCACTTGTACTCAAAGTCATGTAAATCACACATGCAAAATAAAAACACATGAACATGGATAGATTCGACTAATCTAGGTAAAACATACATAATCACACCAAAAACAAAACAAAATAAAATAAAACAGAAGCAAATCTTCTTTTTTTTGTGTGCTAGGTCACTGACATGACTAAGAGATTGGTGTTTTCTTCTAAGTGTAGGAGTGTCGAAGTAATAAATAACTTGGTAAGATCGAGATTGAACTACAGGGAGGTTAACTATAATAATAATAATAATAATAATAATAATAAGTTAAAGAGGATTTTGAGATGTAAGATTAATGTGGGGATTAAACAATGATAAAAACAAATATCAAGGTTAGAGAGTTCACTAATGGTATTTTAAATAAGTATAATATAAACTCTTTTTATTACTCAACTAGAAACCATACACAAAGAAGGTTTCAATTAGAGGATTTGTCATTAATAGCTCATTATAAATTCTTAACATAATCATATTAATTATCTTATTTAAGTAACACCAAACTTTTAAGTATTGTCAAGAATTTATGATGCTAACTTATATTAATAACAAATCAAGTTCCTTTTATAGCACTGGCGTAAGTTATGCCATATAGTTGGTTATTAAAGTGTCAAGTATTTGTTATACCAAGTGTTATATAACACAAATCTAGATTAACCATTTAACAAGTAAGGTATAAAGAATTAGTAAGATAAAAAGATAATACATGTTAATAACAAACTTTCTTGGATATAAACAATGAAGTTCATATTGAGTTTATAACATACATATTCTAACACTATTAGTGAAACTTTTTTACCTTGACATCATAAACTTAGCTAAACATAATGAAAAAGAGAAACATATATAAACAAGATAAGAACATAAATAAGATACAAGTGGTCTTCTAGAACTTGAGATATGGGCTGAATACTAAACAGTATCTGAGCAACAAGACAGATTCAGACTTCTCTGTTATTACTATAATTTGAACTTGAAAACGATATTTTTGAATCTTGGACTATTCATAAAAGTTTTAGGCCTATGTCTTAACTTTCTATTCATATAAAATAGAATTAAATCCAAGTTTTATAGCTCTAGATATGACCCAATTACTGAACAGTGTTTTGGTTT